CCCTGTACTAAAACCTTTGTAACTTCAAGAAGATGCGATGGTTATTTCTGAATTGAAAAACTTGACATCTATACAATGGCGTTGCAAAAAGTGAAACAATAAAGCGTAAGTAGTTGCTGAGAATAGAAACCCCACCAAGTACCGATTAGAGATACTATAGTGTTGATCATCTTCACGCCTTTTTGTATGAGAATGTGTTTCTTGCCATTGAGCTTAGAATCTAGAAATCTAATCAAGCCCATTAACTAAAGATCCTGACAGTTGATGTGAAAAAGTCTGGAAAGATCAGTTTTTTTCTTTTTATTAAGATCATAAATTTAGATTTCTCGGGTGACAAGTCCAGGCCCCGAGTTCGCAGGAAGGAATATAGTTTGATTAAAGTGATTCTCTCTCTCTCTCTCTCTCTCCCCTCTCTTTCTCTCTCTCTCTTTCTCTTTATTTCTCTCGCCAGTCTTAGCGCCAAAACACTACCGTGTCTCCAAATGTGAGTGCCATTCTGAACACATTGTTCAATGTTACAAAGGTAAATGCTAAATAACAAGGGGTTCAAAGAGGAACCTTGAGAAGTGCCTTGATAAAAGGAGTCAAGAAGGCGTCTATTTTTCACTACAAAATGTCGTTTGTGAATTAGATTGCCGATGAATCTCTTTGCGCGCAGAAATTTCAAGCTTCTTTAGATCATCGAGGCAGATAAATGGAATGACTCTGTCAAAGGCGCTAACATATCCAAAGATGTGCAGATTGTAGCCTCAGCTATAAAGTCGTTGTAAATGTAGTTCGTTAGGGTGACAAAGTTGTCAGCGCAGGAATAAAGTTCAGTTGGTATTTTGGTAATATATTATTTGATTCTATAAATCATCTGAGCCGAAAAAATATAAGTTCTCAAGAATTTTGAGAAAACAAAACAAGAGCGAGATAGATCGAAGTCCTCGCTTTTCAAATTTGAGGATAAAAATGATCAGCGAGTCCAGCCATACATCAGAAAAAATACCGTCTCTAAAGATTTATTTAAGTAAAACTATTAAATAGACCTGTTCCAATTTTGATAGAATTAATACGATAATAGAAAATTTTTATAAACTAACTTGATTTTTAATTATTTATATTGAGAATATATCAGCGCAGTTACATAATTTAAAAAATTTATATAAATACTGAAGATGACCTAATATAAGGTCAAAACGTTTGCATCATTTTATATA